CTCGTGCCCCCCCCCCCCCCCCCCCCCGGGCCTGGGCTTCTCCGCTGGAACGAATTTTTTTTTTTTCCCCCCCCTCGGGCTGGGCTGCACCGGTGGAATAGCTCTAAAAGGTGTGAGTGGACGAAAAATAGGTTTAAACACCCCACTCCTATTTTATCCACTTACACTCCTAAAAGGAGTGTAAGTGGATAAAATAGGAGAAAAAAGAGTGGGGAAATCACAACTCTAAAACAAACATACTAACCCAGCCCTTTTTTTTGAAAACCTTAGCCCGAAAGCCATGCATGTAAAACCCTTTTTAACAATTGCCTGATTTAAAAACCTGTTTGATCTCAAAAACTCTTTTATACAAATAAATGCATGCACACCCATAGTTATGTACCAGAGGAAAACAATCCAACGATGGGATTGTTTTACTAGACCACATGGCAGGATCCTCAATGCACATATGGCTAGGGAATGAGCAGTCCAACTGGGGAACCATTGCTCCCCAGACACGCACAGTAATCCTCAATACATGTGGGGTTGAAATATGTCATACACGCGCTGACAGTCCGTCAAGGCCTTCAGTACACCTGAATAGGGGTGCTCGGTTCCCAACACGCCTCAGAAGAGTTACCGTGTGTCAAAAATAAATAACTATAGCAACCGTAATAGGGGAGGTACACAATATGGTAAGCATATACAACAATCAAAACACCAATAATATATATATATATATATATACACACATCGCATGCACAATTCATTTTTACTTCAGATAGTGCCACAAGATCTCTTATAATTTCCGCATGCAATATGTATCAATTTCCAATATTTACCATTTCCAAGTAAAAGAAATATACATTAATAAACCCCTTTTAATGCATGAAATTTATACTTTTAAAAAAATGCTTATTTAAAACAAAGTCCACTCGCAGAAAATCCAAGCTAGTATGACCCGGTGGGGGTCCCGCTTGCTGGCTAGCAGGAGTCTGAGTGCTAGTTTGACATTGCTTATTTGGGGTGATAAGTAATTTTTAAATTTTTTTGAGAAGCCCAGCTCGTTTGGTAAACTATGAGAAAATCAATTATTGTTAAAAAATGTTGTGAGAGAAAGCTATAAGGGAAATCAGCTAATGATGTGCTTTCATTTTCTGATTATCCAAGAATCAGTTTCGAAGAGGCAATGTGTTTAATGATTATGCGGCAATCATTTTCTGATTATGCCGGAATTAGTACCAATAACACTTTTAACACAAAGTTTACCAAATGCCAAACTATTTTCTCTCACAGCAAATATGACAACAATTATTTTCACAGCACAATAATGCCAAACTGGCCCTGAGTACCTATTGAAGAAACATCGAGATATGTTAACAATTGTATTTCAAACCCGAACTTTAAATTAGAAATAATTCCTAGGATTTAAATGTGTAGTTTTTTGTTAAGACGGTTTCGCTTGGTTTGTGGTCGACAGTTTGGTCAACTTTTCCTTTTTGGTCAATCGGGCCCACGGGGCCTAGGATCTCTGATTTCCAAACCGAAAGTTCTCAAAGGTCCAACTCAAAACAAACAACCAGTCCCAAGGATTTGGACTTGATCGAGCGATCAGGTTACTCTCAATCGCCCAATCAGACTACTCTCGATCGCACAATCGGACGGTTATTGGTTACCTAACCTTAAACTCCTTGAATCGAAGTATTTGGGACTCCGATTCCCGATCCATGAATTCCTACTCGATCCTACAGATACAAGAAACAATATACTTGGAATTGGAGTCAATCCAATGGTTCGAACTTATCGAACCCAGATATCGCCTAATAGGCGTAACTCTGTTCGACTGTCAAACGATAACCAAAATTGAATCCGAGCATATTGTTGTGCTCAAGACGACAAGGGGATCAAAACAGAATACAGTGGGCCACCACACCATGACCACATGCCGGTAGGGTGTGGGTGGCTTGAGAAAATTATATCGCCGGAAGTTTCTCAAATCATCCAACAATATATATACCTATGTGATCAGGGAAACTAAAGGAGCAACTTTTATAACTGGGCCGACCTCCAATTTGGCTGGGAAGTGGTTGGAAAACATTGCCAAAGGCGGACAAAACCTATGTTTCTAATTGAACACTCATGGCTTCAAATCGATCCAAACCAACTATCAAAGTAGCTAGAACACGAAAAATGGATGAAGAAGCATACCTTACTCCTTGGATTCCATTGTTGGAATCGTCGAAAATGGTGACGAAAAAGTCGCATTTTTTCCTCTCGTTCCAGTCGCTTCACGGCTCGAAATCAGAGAGTGCGTGAGGAAGCGAGTGTGTCACTACATTTTCGTTGATCATAATTTCTTTTTTAAAACTCTGATTTGGGCCCACTATGTGTCTACGGATTCGTGAGAGCGAGCTCTACATAATGGCGCAACTCAATTCCCCAAAATCCTTCCCAAATTAAAAATGATCAATTTACCCTCACCCTTAAAGGTAAAAATGTAATTTCACAATTAAATTTTTAATTGACTAATTATTTTAGATCGGGATGTTACATTCAGCATACATAAACTAAACATTGAAATTATTAAGAGTGCTGCTAAACGAACCCTAAAATTAACTGAGTACACCCTACTATAAAACTATATATTGAATTACTAATTTACCATAATATAAAATGACCAAAAAGGATATATGGAATTGTGAAACAAATATAATTTTAAGGGTAAACTACAGTAAACCCCCCAACCTATAGGGTCATTTACGAGTCCATATCTGATTTTGAGGACATTTATGAGTACATACTCAACGTTGCGGAAAACCTACAGATTGCCCCCTCCGTTAGCGAGTTCGTCAAGAAATCTGTTATATGCCTACATGGCATTTGTGGGACCCATTTTTAATTGATGTGGAGTTCCACCTGGAAAAAAAAAAAATCGAAACTAATTTTAAATCTTTAAAATTATTTTAAAATTGATTATAAAAAAATTTAAAAAAAAGACAAAAAACAAAAAACAAAAAACAAAAAACCAACCCAGAAAAACCCATCACTCTCCCCCCGTCGCAACCTTCCCTCAACACCCACCCACTGCAGCCCAACACAAACAAAAAAATCCATCTTCTCCAATATCCCCCTCTATTCTCAACCGTCATCCTCTCTCTCCTCCTACCACCTTCTCCGACCCAATCCAACCCACAATATGAGTTCCGACTAAATCCCTCAGCCATCACCAACTCCATCCTGAAACGCAGCACCTGTGCCCCCATCCTTAGCCGCTATTTTTTTCACCAGAGAGAAGCTTGGAGAAGAACCCAGATGCATCAGCTAAGAACCCAGATTGACCAACTCAAATTCTGCAACATCCCGATTGAGTCTGGCAGTGCCTCTAGAAGATTTGAAGACAAATTTAGCTCTTCAAGCTTCTCTAATCTAGCTATTGAATTAGGAATTACCTGTTCAAAATTGATTTTTTTTCCTTAATTCAATATTAACAATTTAATTAAATCAAATCAAACCAAATGAAAAGAAATCTAACCTGGAGTTCATTATTGGAAAGATCGAGCATAAGCAAATCGTGAATCCGGCCAAAGGCCTCGGGCAAGAACCGCAACTGCCGACCAGAGAGGTTGACCTTGTCTAGCTCGATTCCGGAGGCCTCTTGTAGAATCCCAACCACCTCCTCATGGACTTGGTCGCTGGTGAAACCCTCATCCCCCACCTTGTCATCTTCGACGACGACGCCGAGGGCGAGGCGGGGCGTGAGAATGAGCTCTTCTAGCTTCTTTGCCAAATTGGAATCAATGACGGTGAGCCTGGCCTTGGAAACGTTGACGACCTCGTGGTCGGGGCGGTAGCCGAGGGTTTTGAGAATGGAGCAGGTCTGGGAGACGTCGGATATGGCATGGGGGAGGTGATGGGTTGGGTTGGAACAAGAGAGGTGTTAAGGCTGGGATAGGTAGCCTGAGTAAGCTTGGGTGGTGGTTTGGGTGGCTGGGGGCTAGGAGGAGATGAGATCGGGAGAGAGAGAGAGAGAGAATTTGGGTATGGTTTTTTTTTTTTATTTTAAAATTTAATTTTTTTTTAATTTATCAAAATTATTTTTAATTTATTATTTTTTCCACGTGGAACTCCACATCAATTAAAAAAGGGTCCCACAAATGCCACGTAGGCAGATAACAGATTTCCTGACGAACTCGTTAACGGAGGGGGCAATCTGTAAGTTTTCTGCGACGTTGAGTATGTACTCATAAATGTCCCCAAAATCGGGTATGGACTCGTAAATGACCCTATAGGTTAGGGGGTTTACTGTAGTTTATCCTAATTTTAATAAGTACACCCTACTAACCATATTCAACCCTAATCAAGAGATTGCTTGTCCTATTGTGTTCAGTGGCGAAGCCAGGATTTCATGTGTGTGGGGGCCTCTTACAAATTATAAAGAATCAAAAGTTCGAACTCACAATACATACAAAAAATAGTATATATATCACATATGTCAAGAATTATATTGCTTATTGGTTGCAATCATAATTGTCCTCGACAAAGAGATAGATAAATACATTTTAAGTAAGAAAAATTGTAAGAGATAGACAAAGAGCAGCGATTTAGCAAATATCTTTAAAGCTTTTTCCCCCATTAAACCCAATAGAAAGAAAAAATCAAAATTTCACAAACTAAAAAAAACCTTAGGTCCCTTCATGCATTCATATCATATTATCATACATGAAAAAATATTTTATGTAAAAATATTGACTAAGTATGAAAAATGGTTTTTCGAAATAATCATTTTCTCAAGATAATTTTTGGCGGCTTTTATTCCTTGCACATCAAATAAGAAAACTTGATTTTATGGAATTTTAGTATAAAGTATATATTGACTTAATGAGCCATCATTTTTAGCCTAAATCATATTTTGCACTAAAACCGATTTTTCATATTTTGATTGGGTGGGAATTTTATTTTCTAGTATTTTTATTTGAATCCAAATAGGGGGTACTTCCTTATTTACATTGTAAACTTAAGTAAATTGAGTATTATAAAAATAAATTAAAGTAAAAGGACAAAGACATATACTTACATGCTGAAAATGGAAATAAGTTAATCTGTACACCTGAAGTGCTCCATCACCAACTGAGCAAAGGGACAATTTGAAGCACCTCATTGTGCCTTAATATATCTACCACAACACATGTGTGTACATATCAAAACGTAAAGTATTTCAAATAATATACATATACAAATACATAACAGTATATTACTTTGAAAATATATAAAAACTTGAGTGGGGGCCCGGGACCACACTGGTCCTAGTGTGGCTCCGCCCCTTATTGTGTTTTTAACGAAAGAGGTGGTGATTGCAAGAACTTGGAATTGCAAAAAAAAGTGTCAACAGTTTTAGTAGAAGCATAAATCCATAGGAAAAGTCAAAGATTTATAAACACTATTAAAAAAATCAAGCTAAAAATCAACTATAAAATAATGCTACAAGTATTAGGGTGTACTAGGGGTATTTTTGGTAGTTCTATAGGGTATACTTAGTTAATTTTACATTTTAATTAAAATATTAGGGTGTACTTTTATCATAGGGTGTACTCAGTTAATTTTAGAGTTCGTTTAGCAGCACTCAATTATTAATTGTCATAAATTTAAACGATGGAGATCTAAATTTTGTCATTTAAGAATTCTATGTAATTTTTAAATCCTTTATCCAAACGGAAGGGGCAGGAGCAGACCAAGGCGGCGGCTGAGGTTTTTGTTAAAGGACCAAAATAGAATTCATGTATAAATTTAGGAACCATTCTGATTGAACACTCTTTTTTTTGTTATTGTCAAAAGTCCTATTTACCTATAAAAAAACTACAACATGTGCCAACCATGTAATTCAAACCGACGGAAATTGATACAGTGAGACCAATTTGTCATGAAATAGAGAGTTGGAGAACCAAAATTCAATCGGGATAAATTCAGGCACTATTTCGGTCGAAAACCCCAAATTACAAAATTACAAACTTATTCTAGGGAGGGAACGAGAATGGCAAAGCCCCAGCCTACTCGTATTTCATTGTGGGGTGGGTCACTTGAATTGGGGGGCGCGTGAGCTACATAAGATTGTATCTCACAGAGAGAGAGAGAGAGAGTCAGAGTTGCGTTGGTGACCCCTTGTACTAATGAGTAATGGGGATACCAAATGAAGCAGAAGGCGCAGGTAATACTTCCAAAGCAGGACGAAACCGCCAGTTTAGAATTTTGCGAAAATGATGATGCAGTTGGCAATCATGCCACCCTCCCTCTCTCACTAAACCCTATCTGACTCTGAGAACAAACAAGGCTCTCTCTCCTCTCTTCATCCTCCGCGTTCATTAAAACCCAGTGAGAGACAGAAGAGAGGAGGGAGGGGCCTTGTTGGTTTCTGAGACACAGTAGCAGCTCTCTCCTCAATTTTATCCCTGCAGAGGAGAAAGAAAATGCCTGGAGCGACTCTGCTCACCCAACAACTCAACAACTTCATCCGCTCCTTGCGGGAGCAGGTCACCTCATCATCATCACCCCCATTTGATTGCTTTGCTTTGCTTCTCTCTTTTTTTCTTCTTTCTTTCTGTTTTTCGATACAATCATTGTTTTGGTTTTTTTTTTTTAGTTTTTGGTTTTATTTGAGGAGTTTTATAAGTTTTTGTTTTTGTGAGGAAGATAAGTAAAAAGGAATTGGGTTTTCTTCACTGAGTATTGCTAGCGCAGAAAGGAAATATGTTTCTAATTGGCATGTAATGCTGATGAATTTGGTGCTCCCAATCAGTTTTGGTTAGTGAAAAAGGAAGGAATTATGGAGGTGGGGAAGGGGAAAGAAAACAAAAATGGGGCTTTGGTTCTGCTAATTTTGTAGTATGATATCGATGATGTTGTGTCTGCACTCTGCAGCTAAGAAAGATGATATCTTTCCAGGGAACAAAATATACTTTTATCTCTGTGCCACCAAGCATAACCCAATTTAGTCAGTTTCTGTAATTTAAGATAATCTCTGTTCAGTTTTAGATCATTTTTCAACCTTTATCATAGGGTTAATATTTGGGTTGCCTGGTTTTCTTTAACAGACAAAGAATGGTCATATAAATTAGAGACTAATTAATGACCACGTTTCTGGCAGGGAATACTGGACTTCCACTTTGAAGAACTGAAAGAGTTAGAAAGCGACACTCCTTGCTTAGTTGTGGAAGCAATAACCATGTTCCTTCGCGATGCTGACTTTTCTATAGCAGAACTTCTAAGAATTCTGTAATGCCTTCAATGATTTCAAGCAATTGCCTTTTTTAGTATAGTTATTATGTATGTATATGTATATTTCTACTGACTGATTTTGGAGAATTCAATTTTAGGGGTGCACCTCTTATCAACTACACTAGGGTCACAGAAATTGCCTTCCAGCTCAAAGGAAGTAGCTCAAGGTAATATTGCCTATTACTTTTTGGGTTTCTGCCCATTTACATGCAATTTACTAATTTTTTTTTTATGATTGTGATGCATCTGTGTGGTTTGGCAAATTTACTATATGAAGCATTGCTAAAATTTTCTTATCAAGCAGTTATTGTGTATGACATGATATGTTGATTACATATCCCAAAGGAAGTCTGAACCATTTGCGCAGGACTCTTTGCATGTTTAAAACATTCAGAAGATACTGTTGGTTAGGAATTTTCCAATTTGGATGTAAATCTGCAGGACATATATACTTCATGTTTGTGATCATTAAATGAAACAATCTATTGTAAGAATGAGTTAAAAGATCTCTGAATTTGGTTCTTTATGCAAGTGTGCATATCTTATCCAAAATATTTGGAAGTGATATAACTACAAAATCCAGTGAAGACACTGATGCCACTCGTGTTGCATGTTTAAGATTGCATGTTTAAGATATCCAGAAGATATCTGTTGGTTAGGAATTTTCCAGTTTGGACGTGAATGTGCGTGGCATGTAGATCACAGTTGTAAGCATTCATTAACTAAAGCAATTGATCTTAGCCAATCATCATTAGTAAAAAAAAACATTTCCATGTTTTGGATTATTTATGCAAACAACAAATATCTTATCCAATAAAACTCGGAAGCGACAGTGAAGATGTGAATGTTCACGCGCTCTGCTTTTTAAAACATTCGGAAGATGGTATTGGTAAGGAATCTTTCATTTTAGACGCTAATGTACATGGCATGGAGATCCCGTTTGGAATGGATCATTAATGAAAGCATTTAATCATTACCAATCACTGTTTAAAACATTTCCAGTTGTTGGATAATTATGAAGACATAATTATCTTATCCATAGAAGTTGGAAGGAAGTGCTAACTAAGAAATCTAGTAGACTAGTACTGTAGGCAATGCTACGCATATGCTAGCGCGTGGCGTATGCAGTTTCAAAATTATTTTTGGAAGATAGTGCTAACTTAAATCTAGTGCTGAAGTAGTCAACACCACGCGAATGCTAGCGCGTGGCGTATGCAGTTTCAAAATGCTTTTTGGAAGCAAGTGCTAACTCAGAAATCTAGTACTTAAGTAGTCATTCGCGTGGTGTATGCAGTTTCAAAATGCTTTTTATTGTGACGCCATAGTGATTATACCCCACCTAGTCTGTTTCTAACCCGGGGCTAACCAGTGTACACATACTTTTATTAAATGGTTATTATTGATAAAGATAAATTGCATCCAAAGACACTATATAAGGCTTACTTACTACTTATATTTATTGGTTATGGATTTTCAGTTTTGATCCCTCTGAATTTGTGTATTGCATATTATATGAGCCCAAATGATGCTTCTCTGTTTTATCCTTTTACTTTGGTAAAAGAATATTGATGCCATTCAGTGCATTTGGCATTGCAGTGTTGGTGGTTGCCGGATGGCCCAAGCCTGTTGTGA